GCCTTGTTCTTCGGACTCCTCTTAAAGAAGCAGACTCGGGAGGGTGCGGGTAGAGTGAGGTCGACGGGAGAGGAAGGTCGGGAGGGGGTGGGGCGGAGTGGGAGGGGCGCCCAGAGATGGCGGGAGGAAGACCTGGGCGCTCTTAACGTCGCCGCACACCCTTCTCTGCATGTCTTTCTCTGCCTCCCACCTTTTATGTTCCTTCTCCCAGACAGGTGAAATAAGAGAAAACCAAGAAACCAGCACGGCCGGAGGGGGCGTCTCTGTGGATGGGATGGGGACGTCAGGGGAGGGGCTGGGCCGCTGCTCCCATGCCCTGATCCGGGGGGTCCCAGAGAGCCTGGCGTCGGGGGAAGGTGCGGGGGCCGGCCTTCTGGCTCTGGACTTGGCCAAAGCTCAAAGGGAGCACGGGGTGCTGGGAGGTAAACTGAGACAGCGACTGGGGCTGCAGTTGCTAGAACTGCCTCCTGAGGAGTCCCTGCCACTGGGACCACTGCTTGGTGACACGGCTGTGATCCAAGGGGACACCGCCCTAATCACGCGGCCCTGGAGCCCCGCTCGCAGGCCAGAGGTGAGCGCCGCCGAGCAAGGGTGTGGTAGGGAAAGGTGGGAGGAGCTGACGTCCGGGGCTTTGGGGAAGAATTGGGAGTGGGACTGCGTCAGCCCCGCGCCCCCTTCTCCTGCCCTAAGGTTGATGGGGTCCGCAAGGCCCTCCAGGACCTGGGGCTCCGAGTTGTGGAGATGGGAGACGAGAACGCGACGCTGGACGGCACTGATGTGCTCTTCACCGGTGAGGCTGGGCGCCGGCACTCCCGGGTCTTGGCACAGGGACACGGAGCTGGGGGGACTGGGTCGTCTGCGGCCCTGCTTCCAACTCCCGCCCTCAGACCGCCGCCGCCTCCCGGACTCAGGCCGGGAGTTTTTCGTAGGCCTCTCCAAGTGGACCAATCACCGAGGGGCGGAGATCGTGGCCGACACGTTCCGGGTGAGGACAGGGACCGGGCCTGGGAGCGAGCGGGTGGGAAGGGCCGAGAGCCCGAGGGGAGGGAGCGGCCGAGCGCGGCCCGTTGGAGGGTTTCTGCCCTCGCCCTTCCCTCGCTCCTCAACGCCTGCCCTTGCTCTCCCCAGGACTTTGCCGTCTCAACTGTGCCCGTCTCGGGCCCCTCCCACCTGCGCGGCCTCTGTGGCATGGGGGGGCCCCGCACCGTCGTGGCGGGCAGCAGCGACGCCGCCCAGAAGGCAGTCAGGGTGAGGAGGGCGGGCCGAGGGAGTGGGGCAAACGGAAGCGGCGTGGCTCCGGCCGGGCTGGCGGGAAGGTGGGAGGCTTCGGGAATTAGCCCCATGCCTGCCCTCACCTGGCTTTCCCTCTAGTGGTCAGAACACGAAAGTAAATAAGAAGTCACTACAGGCCGGGCGCGGTGGCTCACGCCGCCGTAATCCTAGCTCTCTGGGAGGCCAAGGTGGGCGGATCGTTTGAGCTCAGGAGTTGGAAACCAACCTGAGCAACAGCCCAATCAGCAAAAGCGAGACCCGTCTCTACTATAAATAGAAACAGATTAATTGGCCAACTAATATATACAGAAAAAATTAGCCGGGCATGGTGGCGCATGCCTGTAGTCCCAGCTACAGGCTGAGGCAGGAGGATCGCTTGAGTTTGAGGTTGCTGTGAGCTAGGCTGACGCCAGGGCACTCACTCTAGCCTGGGCAACAAAGTGAGACTCTGTCTCAAAAAAAAAGAAGAAGAAGAAGAAGTTACAACAGCGGGACAGGGAGCTGGGAGACTGCAGAACAGGGGTGATTGACTTGCTCTTCCAGAGTTTCAAGAAATTCCCCAGAGGTGACTGACATCTAAGCTGTGACTCTAAGTATGGATAGGACAGACAGGTGGGGGCTGAAGAAGGGAAGAAGAGAGTTGCAGGTGAAAAGAACTGCATGCGAGTCCAAGTTGGAAATTAGGAAAGGTAACCAAAGTGCTTAGAACAGTGTCTGACACATAGTAAACCTATGTGCTTGCTGTCATTATGCCACAAATGTAACTCTATCCCCAGCCCTTAGTGGTGGTAGGGCAGGCAGATTCAATTGTTGAGAAACTGAGACTTGCATGCTTCCTCTTTTCTCTTCCCCAGTCAATGGCAGTGCTGACAGATCACCCATATGCCTCCCTGACCCTCCCAGATGACGCAGCTGCTGACTGTCTCTTTCTTCGTCCTGGGTTGCCTGGCGTGCCCCCTTTCCTCCTGCACCGTGGAGGTGGGGACCTGCCCAACAGCCAGGAGGTGAGGGAGGGTAGAAGCTCCACCACCAATAACCAGAAAAAGGAGTTTCGGGTTTTCCTAGTGGGAGGATAGAGGGGTCTCTTTTCTAGAAGCCTGGGTGAGGCCCATCTAAGGGGGGGGCTGGCTCCGACCTCAGCGTCTTACTCCCTCTCTCCATTCCATGTCCTCCCTACAGGCACTGCAGAAGCTCTCTGATGTCACCCTGGTACCTGTGTCCTGCTCGGAACTGGAGAAGGCCGGTGCTGGGCTCAGCTCCCTCTGCTTGGTGCTCAGCACACGCCCACACACCTGAGGGCCTGTCCTTGGGTAGGGCAGCATGGAAAGTAGAAGAGGAAGGAGGGTTAGATAGAGATGTTGAGTAGGCAGTAGTGGGGGAAGGGCCTCAAGACGGGGGAGGGCAGAGTGTGGGAAAAAGGATAGGGGCCACTGGGTGAGTATTCTCTCTCAGAGCCAATAAAATGGAATTGAACTTTTAGACTGGGCTGTGGCTGGTGTCTTACTGGGGCATAGGGATGGGGCAGGGCTGAAACCGAGGTTGGGGTCAGTTCAGGGAAGGTCTCTTTCATTCAAAAACCTCCCATTAGGCATTTACTGACTCATTGCCCAACCATGTCATAAGTGCTTGGACACAAGATAGAAAAAACAGAATTTCTGTTGTGGCAAATGTATTGAGGGCAGGGAAGAGAGTGTGTAGGTGGATCACTCACTGAGTTTATCTAAATCTCAGATGATTCAGAGAGTGGTAGAACACCACTCCACCCCTATTTGATAGAGAAAAAGAAATGACACTTCCAGGAACATTCATTTTCATTCACTCATTTACTGAGGCTTAGCAGTGGCATCAAAAGGGTCAGTCTCCTGATGTCAGGGCACATGAAAATTCCTTACAAGTTGAAATACAAGTTGTGATGGAACAATTCATGGGAGCCTGTTTCTATGAGGGGAAAAAAGGGGGCTCCCTAGGACATCAAAGTGTATGCAGGGATGGGAAAAGAGGATCACGAACAACTTTCCAGAAAAGGCTACCCTTGAACTGAGTCCTGAGGATAAATAAGAATTAGCCAGGCAAGTAGTGGGGTGGAGGGAAGAGGGTAATCCAGGAAGAAGGAATTGCACTGGGCAAAGCATATTTTGGGGCTGTGGAGAAATTCTCAGCCTAGCATGTTTTATGCATATGGAGTGACAGAAATAAGCCTGGGCCAGGCCTGGTGGCTTATGCCTGTAATCCTAGCACTCTGGGAGGCCGAAGTGGAAGGATCCCTTAAGGTCAGGAGTTCAAGACCAGCCTGAGCAAGAGTGAGACCCTGTCTCTACTGAAAATAGAAAGGAATTAATTGGCCAACTAAAAATATATAGAGGCCGGGCACAGTGGCTCACGCCTGCAATCCTAGCTCTCTGGGAGGCCAAGGTGGGCGGATCGTTTGAGCTCAGGAGTTCGAAACCAATCTGAGCAAGAATGAGACCCCGTCACTACCATAAATAGAAAGAAATTAATTGACCAACTAATATATATAGAAAAAATTAGCTGGGCATGGTGGCGCATGCCTGTAGTCCCAGCTACTTGGGAGGCTAAGGCAGTAGGATTGCTTGAGCCTAGGAGTTGGAGGTTGCTGTGAGCTAGGCTGATGCCATGGGACTCACTCTAGCCTGGGCAACAAAGTGAGACTCTGTCTCAGAAAAAAAAATAATAATAATAATACATAGAAAAAAATTAGCTGAGCATGGTGGCTCATGCCTGTAGTCCTAACTACTTGGGAGGCTGAGGCAGAAGGACTGCTTGAGCCCAGGAGTTTGAGGTTGCTGTGAGCTAGGCTGATGCCAAGGCACTCTAGCCAGGGCAACAAAGTGAGACTCTGTCTCAAAAAAAAGAAGAAAAGAAATAAGCCTGGATAGTGGACAGAGTACTGTAGGGCCTTGTATCCAAAGCCAAGGCCCATGGGTGCAGAGTTGAAGGCTAAGGAAAGAAATACTGTAGTTCTGAAATAAGGGCTGTCTTGTCTACGAACATACGACCCTAAAAGTGCCTGATCTCATCTGAAATAAAGGCTGTCAGAAGCATTAAGCACTTGGAGAGGATCTCTCTGGCTTCAGGGAGGAAAGCAAAAGCTGGGGATGAGGTAGGGATATGGGGAATCCAGGAAGAAAATGAAGAGAGTACATTCAGGTGGCAGCGCTGGGCATGGAGAAGGGTGTGGATTTGTTAGTGACATTAAGATAGAAAGACTGGACTTGATGGCTCATTGTGTGGTAGTGAGGAAGGAAGGTCTGCATGACTCCCGGTTTCTGGTTTGGGCAACTGGGTTACTCAAGAGAGAATTCAGAGGAGGATTAAGTGGGTGGCTTGGGAGATGACAATGAGTTGAGTTTGACATGCTGGGTGCAAAATGCCTGGGGCCAGCCAGGTGGAAGGTCTGAGGAGCAGTTTAGAAATTCCAAATTTGATATCTAAGCTGAAGAGAGTTCTGAGTGTCATTTTGCAGAGGTGGGCGGGGGCTAAAAACTGGCTGTGGGTGAGAGCTTCTTGGAAGAGGAAGAAGGGGGAGAAAGGATGCCTGTAATCCTAGCACTCTGGGAGGCCAAGGAGGGAGTATCACTTGTGTTTGAAACCAGCCTGAGCAAAATCAAGACCCCCATCTTTACGAAAAATTAGCAAGGCATGCCTGTAGTCCCAGCTACTTGGGAGGCTGAGGCAGGAGGACTGCTTGAACCCAGAAGTTTAAGCTTGCTAAAAGCTGTGATGATGCCACTGCACAGAGCAAGACTCTGTCTCAAAAAACAAAACAAAACAGAAAAACAGGGTTGGGAGAAGGGGACAAACCTAGATTGGTGGGGAATACTCTGAAGATAGGGAGTAAGGAAGAGGAGTCCAAAAGGAAGACATGAGCAGCAAAGAAAAACAGCTTAAAGAAGGGAATAATCAAAGGCCAAGCCAAACACATACTAAAAAATGTCTACTGGGTGTGGCTCTTCGGGCATCACTGGCAACCTTATGGAGACAGAGCAGATGAGCAATTTCAGCAGATGAGCAGTGGGGTGGAGTGAAGAAGAACATGGAAGAGACACATGTATGCCCCTGGTTCAAAAAGCTTGACTGTGAGGGGAGGGAAGAGATAGGGCAACAGTCTACGAGATACTGATGTCTTAAGATGGAGACATTCTTCTGTGGAACCAGGGCACAAGAGATTAAAAATAAATAAATAGAAATTAAAAATTAAATAAAGATAGGGAGATTGGGCTTGATCTGGTTTAGAAAGGACACCAGTGGTGAAGCAGACATGGGAATTAAAGGAGAGATGGAGTAAGTGAGGGAGAAGATCAGTGCAGAGATAGCCTGGGGCGCAGGTCTCCTGACTCCCCGTCTAGTGCTCACTTCTATCCCATGGTGCCTTCCTCTTCCAGGTGAGGGGCCAAAGAGGGGAAAGGGATTATGGAGAGCTGGGAGCCCCAGCTTGGGAGGCTTGGAGTAAAGGCTTCCCTTCAAACTACAACTGCATAGACGGTGGCAGCGTCAGCAGGAGCCACTGTGGACAGCCGGCGAGGGCTTCGGAGGGCCGTGTAGTCCAGATCCGCGTAGAGCAGGCTCTGAGGGAGGAGGAGGAGGAAGACAGGATGATCTGGAAGTCTGGTTCCCTTGAGGTGCAGGCCTCTCTCTCGGTTTGCTTTCCTAAGGGATTCTGGCCAGGCCCCTCCCCATCCCCCATCCTTTACCTGCTCCTGGTCCAGGTACCCTGGAATCCCGGGCTCCTCCTCCTTTACTGGCCTCGGAGGCTCGGCTTTCAAGAGTGAAGCTATGTGGGGGGGACAGAGCTGAAGGATGGAGAGAAAGTGACCAACTTGTCTGCTCCCAGAAAGGGCTCAGACTCATGAGTTGACGGGTGGGGAATGCGCAGGTAGGAGAAGGAAAATGGGGTGGAGTTAGTCTCACCAAATCTGGGGAGTGGTCGAAGCGGGGGCGGGGGCGGGCGCCTGTAAGGAACACATAAGAGTCTCTGAGCATCACCAGCCTTGTCTCTCTGGGTCTCCTCGGCCCCAGGCCGGCCGACGACGGCCTAGCAACTTGCAGATTCAGACCCCCGCCCGCTACTCCCCGCCACACACAAACCCCAGCTTAGGCTCTACCCCCATAAACAGTCTAGCCCACGCTCTGACCCCGGGGCCCTCCTGGCTTGGCTCCTCTAGCCTGGGCTCCACTCGCCAGCCCGTCGCCTCGCTCCCTAATTCTGACCTCTCCCAGTCTTCTCCAAGCCACGCCCCGGGCTCCAGATCCAGCTCGTCGGTCTGAGAAGGTTCTGGTCCTGCCCCTCCCGCTTCTGGCTTCGCCGCACTAAGCCAGGGCCCGCCCCTCGTACTCACCTGCGCAGCCACCAGACCACGCCCAAAGCTCCCAGTCCCAGCAGCAGCCCAGCGCCCAGTAGCGGGATCAGGAGCTGGGGATACACGGACGCTGGGGGGACAGCGTGACGGGGAGGGACGCCGAGGTTAGGGGTACGACAGCTCTCTCGCTCAGGAACTCCCAGCAAGGTCCCTCTCCCACCTCCCGGTATGTGTCGGAGCTAGTCCTGCTGTGCTCACAGGCCTCGACCTACCGACCTACCGGGGGTAGTCCCGGGGGCCCTGCAGTCGGCCCTGTCCCCCAGCACGTGAAGCACCGTACGGCTCTCGTCCTCGTGGCGGCCCCTGCAGAAAAAGGTGCCCGAGTCCCCCGCGCTCAAGAGGAGCTCCAGCCGCTGGATACTAGGGTCCAGGGAGCGGAGGCGGCCGGCGAAGGGCTGGAGGGGAGGCACGGTGGGGATCCCGCTTGGCAAGGCCCACAGGATTGGGCGGCGTCCTTTGGACAGACCCTTGCACGCCGGGAAGCTAGGCGCCCAGGCCCAGCGGATGGGGTGCGAGACCCCCACGCAGGAGAGATTCACCCGGTCCCCAGGGCGGCCGTCCAGAGAAGCTAGGGGAGGCGAGGGCGGCGGTTAGGGCAGGTCCACATGGCAAGACACCCCGCACCTCGACTCCTCTTTCTCACCTCTCCTCTGCCCTCCGGGCCATCCTGGATCTTACACACACACACACACACACACACACACACCACCCCCTAAGCGACCCCCTTTCTGTGCCCAGCACACTCTTCCAGGGATCGCTCACCCCCGGGGTCCCCTTGGGCCCGCGAGAGCAGCAGAGGCAGCAGCTGCAGCCACAGGGCCATGGCTGGGGTGTGGGTGCGGAGAGGCGAGTGAATCAGCACGGCCGGGGGGAAGCTGGTGTGGGGAGGCGGCGGGGCTGGGGGCTGCGATAAGGGCGGGGCGGAGCCACCAGCTGCCTGGAAACCTTTGGGAAGCCTCCCAGGCAAACTCACGGTCCTCAACAAAGCTCACTTAAAATTTGTGCTCCAACCGTTTACACAAGCACGTTGCCTATTTAACTCCTCCAGCGTAGCAGTGGCTGGGAGCGTCATGAAGTATGGAGCCCAGCCGCCTGAGCTCAAATCCTGACTCCCATCTACTCGCTGCGTGATGTGGGCAAGTCATTTAACTTCTCTGGGCCTGTTTTCTCATCTGTAGAATGGGGATAAAAAGCACCTATCTCGTAGGGTGTTGTGAGAACTAAACGAAGTAATACATGTAAACCACCTAGAACTATGGCTGACACATAGGAACACTATTTAAGTGCTTCCCATTATTATTATTTCTATTCTATTTTAGCTTCTACCTCACCTGTCCTTCCCCGCCAGGGTGCCTCGCCCAAGTCAGCAGGCTTTGACTGGAGAGGCGCTTTGGAACAAGTGCGTGTGCCTAGGACTCCGGCGGCCCTCACTGCACTACAGCCACAGAGGCCACACCAAGCCCAGGTGGAGCCGGGCAAGGCCCTGGGACGCTTGGGCGGGGGCCTGAGGCAGCCCCTCCCTCGCAGGCAGGCAGGGCCCTGCCTCTCTCCTGAATGGGCAGCCCCAGCCCTCCCCTCCCATCACAGAAGCCCTCAGTGTTGTCACAAACCATTCATTCTGAGGCCGAGCAGGGATGGAAGACTCAGTGAAGGCTGAATTGAGATAATTCGGCCATTTCCAGCCTCGATTTTTTTTTTTTTTTTTTTTGAGACAGAGTCTCGCTTTGTTGTCCAGGCTAGAGTGAGTGCCGTGGCGTCAGCCTAGCTCACAGCAACCTCAAACTCCTGGGCTCCAGTGATCCTTCTGCCTCAGCCTCCCGAGTAGCTGGGACTACAGGCATGCGCCACTATGCCCGGCTAATTTTTTATATATATATCAGTTGGCCAATTACTTTCTTTCTATTTATAGTAGAGACGGGGTCTCGCTCTTGCTCAGGCTGGTTTTGAACTCCTGACCTTGAGCAATCCGCCCGCCTCGGCCTCCCAAGAGCTAGGATTACAGGCGTGAGCCACAGCGCCCGGCCCCAGCCTCGATTTTTGCTTGTATGTCCCTACCGATGCGCCCTAGGGACTCAAATGTGGCAATTCCTGCTGTATCCCATTGTCCATTTCCCAGGAACTAGCAGAAGCTGCCACTATGGCCATCGTAAATAACAGAAGACTTTGGTGATGCTCCTTCAGAGAGCTGGGCAGTCAGGACTCCGAGCCACAGGGGGAAGCATCCTGGCCTGAAACCAAGCACCAAAATGGAGTTGGCCTCTAGTGGCACCTACCCCCCCATCCCCCCTCCCTCCCCACTCCCCCCAGGCATTCTCAGCCCCAACTTCCCCTGGTCTTTTCCTCTGGTCAGCTGTGTGTAAATGGGGAGGGAGGGGCTACTAGAGGCAGGGAAGGGAGGAGCCTTTGGCATTATAAATTCGAAAAAGGCCACTCAAGTCCCAGAGCTGCATCCCAGAAAATCTACTCTGTCAGCGGCTGCAGCTGCTACCATTCTCAGGACCCTCATGATGAAAGGCCTTCTGCTGCTCAGCCTATCTGCTCTGTTCTGCTGGGCCTCAGGTAAGTACGTGGGGGCCCCAAGGACCTGGTTCACCTGGTCAGGACACCCTGTGCTGCCCACTGCCCTGCAGTACCCACTACTCAGGACCCCAAGCACCCCTAACTGGCCCAGCCCTCCTGTGCCTCCAGGACCAGGCTTCCCTAGGACAGGCTCCTTGTGCCATCTCTCCAGCTCCCAGGTCTCCATCCACCCTCCCCACCTCCAAGAAAGACCCACTTTCTCACCTGCCAGGCTCTGGGTCCCATTCCCCACTCCAGGGTGCCTCCTTCTTGGAAACTCTGATATCCAGCTCCTCAGCCAGCCCCACATCGATATGCAGTCCTGCAGCATCCAGCTTACCTGTCTCCTCTCTCACGCCCGTGCTCAGCAGGGTGTCCTCTCAGAGACCTATATCCAGCCCCAGGTCCCCGTCGTACTCCACCCTTCCCGTCTACTCTGTCAGGGACTTAGGTGTTCCACCCCTCATCCATGGCTTCCCCAACCATGAGGTGCGTACCTCCTGTCTTACCAGGAACACAAGTTTTCTGGATGGTTCTAGGGACCTCTTAGAGCTTCCCATGGAAAGAGGGAAGTTTTCTGAGCCTTCTATGAAGGCGATGCCAGGGCCACTCACACCCAGGGTGGGTTTCACTGAGGTACACTTCCCAGACTCCTCTACTCTTGGACTGAACCCTTCCTCAACAAACCTTGCATACCCACATTCTGAATTAGCTGAAGCAGGAACTTTGCGGTGCCACCTTCTGTACCTACCCTGTTCATTTTGGTAAGCTGCTAAGACGGAATCTGACAGTCTGTCTCCCAGATATTATTCCTTTCTGCCAAAGAGCTACTGGGGCGAGAGGATCCCCTTCAGGGTTGGTTCCTCTCCCCATGCTCTTGCCAGCCTCCAGAGGCGGAGGGTAAATTGCTAACGCTGGCCACAGGTGGCTTTCTTGCCAGCCTCAAGTTCTGACAGTGTTGTAAGCCCCATGATTTTTGTTTTTAATATTTCTCGGTCTTTCACATCTCCATCTTCTCCCCTGCCTCCCCCATTCCATCTCCATGGGTATCCTCACATTCCACCTATCCCTGGCCCCAGTTTTTGTCCATAGCTCTGCCCCTCTTGACTCATCCCCAAACCGGTGGAGTGAAGGAAGATATTTAGGGTGTGCCCTTTCACAAAGACAACAGCTCCACCCTTACCTGCCACCCCCTTCCTGCTTTCACTGCCTCACTCACCTGCTCTGTCTCTACCGGACCAAACAGCCAAACAGGTCGGAGCACCTACTTGATTGTCTCTTCTCTACCCTCCCTCCCTACCCCATCTCAACTTGTCCCCAAGTAGGTCAGAGACCCTGTTACCTCAGCCTGACCCATCTCTCCACAGCTGACATTCGCTGTCACTCCTGCTACAAGGTCCCTGTGCTGGGCTGTGTGGACCGTCAGTCTTGCCGGCTGGAGCCAGGACACCAATGCCTGACAACACATGTATACCTCGGTAAACATCCCCTTCTTAGTGGGTAGAGGGGCAGGGGGAGACTCTATGACTGGGACTGAGTCCCAGCTGGGGCTAAAACTGAGACAGAGCCGAAAATTATTGCCACGGTAGTATTTGGCCAAAGATGGTTTTGTGCCACGTTCTGTCCTATGTCTTTATGTGCATTGTTTCAATTGATGTGCATGACAGTCCTATGATGCGGTGCCACTGTTATGCTGAGGAAACAGTCTCAGAAAGAGACAGCAAGAGGTGCGAGGCCTCATGACCAGCAAGTCATAGAACCAGGGGGCAGGACAGGAGGTGCAGGAGGAAGACTAGACTGAGAAGAGATAAAGACAGGGAGGGCCAGGGCAGAGTGGGGATGAAGGAGGCTTGGGTGAGCATGTGGGGTGAGGAGGTAGACACAGCATGCCAGGTGCCCATGTAGCTGACCCTGCCCATCCCTGCCCTAGGCAAGATGTGGGTTTTCTCCAACCTGCGCTGTGGTACATCAGAGGAGCCCTGTCAGGAGGCTTACAACCAAACCAACGGCAAGCTGGGCCTGACCTATAACACCACCTGCTGCAACAAGGACAACTGCAATAGCCCGGCCCCCCGGCCCACTCCAGCCCTGGCCCTCATCTTCCTCACCTCCTTGGCTGGCCTTGGCCTCTGGCTGCTGCACTGAGACTCACTCCATGGCTGCCCCCCCCCCCCCGCCTGCCTTAGCCCGAGCATCTCCCCCTGTGTCTCTGCAACCCGTGGCTTCCCAAAGTCGTCTCTCCCTCTCTGTTTTGCTCTGAAAAGAATTTCTCCAGTCCCTTCCCATTTCTTTAAATTGCCCCAGAGTGGTCTCCCTCTCCATCCTTCCCACCCCATTCCCCTACTCTGGTTTTTCTCAGTCCCTTCCCATTTCCCTCTGGACTTCAGAGCCTCCATCGGTCCCTAGAAGGATGCCCCACTTTGTGTCCTACACGCTACTGTGCCCTACTTGAGGAGGGATTGGGATCCGGGCCTGAAATAGGGCTTCTGTCCTGTCCCCAGTGAAGGCTCCCAGGAAGGACCTGATGATCCCAGTGCATGGGCTGATTCCCCAAACTCTGGCTCCCATATGTGCCCAGTCCCCATACTCACCTCTTTCCATGGCCATTAATAAATGTCCGTGTCTGCTAAATTGTGCATTTGTTATCAGAAGACCTAAGTGTCAGGCTGCCTCCAGGAAAAAACACTCTCAGTCTCCACCCCCACCCCCCCAAGAAAGAGTGCTTCAGGGAGTTTTCTAGGAGGCTGTGCTGGAACAAATGGAGGAACAGGTTTTTCAGGCCTCCATCCTCCCTTCCGGTGTCTGGGGGCGGCACACAGGCCTCAGTGTTTTGGAGAAACAACCCTTATCCTAAATTCAAGCCACACCCTTGATGTATTGCCAAGAAGAAGGTGCAGTCTGGCTTGAGGGTTCCCCAGAAAAGGTAAGAGAGGTACAAAGGAATGGGGCCTGAGACTTGTCGTCAGTCTCCCTCAGGTTGGAGTCAGAGGCCTCACCTGGCCTAGTTACTAAGTGGGGCGCCAAGCGATGCTGCTATCACAGTGCTTAGGGTTCCTTTCGCAATTCAGAATAGTCCTATTGGGCCACACATAGTGGCTCACACCTGTTATCCCAGTAACTCAGGAAGCTGATGTGAGAGGATCCCTTGAGGCCAGGAGGTAGAGACCAGCTTGGGCGACAAAATGAGACCTCATCTTATAAAAACAAATAGCCGGGCGCGGTGGCTCACGCCTGTAATCCTAGCACTCTGGGAGGCTGAGGCGGGCGGATTGCTCGAGGTCAGGAGTTCGAAACCAGCCTGACAAGAGCGGACCCGTCCCTACTATAAGAAAGAAATTAAATTGGCCAACTAATATATATAGAAAATTAGCCGGGCAGTGGCATGCCTGTAGTCCCAGCTACTCGGTAGGCAGCAGGATTGCTTGAGCCCAGGAGTTTGAGGTTGCTGTGAGCTAGGCTGACGCCACGGCACTCACTCTAGCCTGGGCAACAAGCTAGACTCTGTCTCAAAAAAAAAAAAAAACACAAATAAATATCACACCTGTAATCCCAGCACTCTAGGAGGCCCAGGCGGGAGGATCACTGGAGCTCAGTAGTTCGAAACCAGCCTGAGCAAGAGTGAGACCCATCTCTACTAAAATACAAAGAATTAATTGGTCAACCAAAATATATAAAAAATTAGCCGGGCATGGTGGCACATGCCTGTAGTCCCAGCTCCTTGGGAGGCTGAGGCAGGAGGATTGCTTGAGCCCAGGAGTTTGAGGTTGCTGTGAGGTAGGCTGATGCCACAGCACTCACTCTAGCCTGGGCAACAAAGCAAGACTCTGTCTCAAAAAAAAAAAGAGGCCGGGCGCTGTGGCTCACGCCTGTAATCCTAGCTCTTGGGAGGCCGAGGCGGGCGGATTGCTCAAGGTCAGGAGTTCAAACCAGCCTGAGCAAGAGGGACCCCGTCTCTTACCATAAATAGAAGAAATTAATTGGGCAACTGATATATATATAAAAAATTAGCGGGCATGGGGTGCATGCCTGTAGTCCCAGCTACTCGGAGGCTGAGGCAGAAGATCACTCAAGCCCAGGGTTTGAGGTTGCTGTGAGCTAGGCTACGCCACGGCACTCACTCTAGCCTGGACAACAAAGTGAGACTCTGTCTCAAAAAAAAAAAAAAAAAAAAGAGTCACTATTGTAATAAGTCCCACTGAGGCTTGGTAACCCCAAACTAGGACCGATGCACCATATTATCTTCAGCCCTCCTATCAACAAGATAGATGGATTTTACAGTCAGCTCCTAGAGTGATCAATAGATTTTAATGGCTCACAAGAGTGCTTGTCTTTTACCTTAGATGTTCAGTGTCTCTTGCTCCCTTGTTCTCTCCCCTACCCCTGCTCCCTCTACCCACTCCACAGTCCCAGCAAGAGCCAGGCCAGGGCGTACTGCTGCGTCAAGATGCATGCAGGAGCCACGTGGCTTGCCACGCCGCTGTCGCCAGGTCCCCGAGGCAGCAGGCCCTATGGCTGTGCAGGTCACGTCTCCCACTGACTCTGTTTCCACTTGATTGCAATGATGGGCTGCCATGCAGGCTGGGTGTTGTTGAGTCAAGGTCACTGAGGCTGAGAGAGAGAATGAGACTGAGGTGTTGGACTCCTGGCTCATGACTTGTTCTGGGGCAGAGCAGATGTGATTTAAGGAGCCCAAAGGAGTCTCTGTCCCTCCAAAATACCCCTCCTTGAAACCAAGCCAATCAGAGTTACACATTGACATTGTGAGCTCTCTGATGTGATGCACCGAGAAGGGCACAATCTCTCTCCTGCAGTGTTCTTGCCTAAAACACATGACCTCAGCTTCATCAGGGGAAAATAACCAATAAATCCAAATTGAGGGCCGGGCGCAGTGGCTCATGCCTATAATCCTAGCACTCTGGGAGGCCGAGGCGGGCGGATTGCTCGAGGTCAGGAGTTCGAAACCAGCCTGAGCAAGAGCGAGACCCCGTCTCTACTATAATAGAAAGAAATTAATTGGCCAACTAATATATTAGAAAAATTAGCCGGGGCGTGGTGGTGCATGCCTGTAGTCCCAGCTACTCGGGAGGCTGAGCAGAAGGATCGCTTGACCCAGGAGTTTGAGGTTGCTGTGAACTAGGCTGATCCAGGCACTCACTCTAGCCTGGGCAACAAAGTGAGACTCTGTCTCAACAAAAAAAAAATCCAAGGCCGGGCGCTGTGGCTCACGCCTGTAATCCTAGCTCTTGGGAGGCCGAGGCGGGCGGATTGCTCAAGGTCAGGAGTTCAAAACCAGCCTGAGCAAGAGCGAGACCCCGTCTCTACTATAAATAGAAAGAAATTAATTGGCCAACTGATATATATATAAAAAAAAAAATTAGCCGGGCATGGTGGCGCATGCCTGTAGCCCAGCTACCCGGGAGGCTGAGGCAGAGGATCATCGAGCCCAGGATTTTGAGGTTGCTGTGAGCTAGGCTGAGCCCACGGCACTCACTCTAGCCTAGGCAAGAAAGCGAGACTCTGTCTCAAAAAAAAAAAAAAAAAAAATCCAGGCCGGCGTGGTGGCTCACGCCTGTAATCCTACACTTGGGAGGCCGAGGCGGGCGATTGCTCAAGGTCAGGAGTTCGAAACCAGCCTGAGCGAGACCCCGTCTCTACCAAAAATAGAAATAAATTAATTGACCAACTAAAAATATATATAACAAAAATTAGCCGGGCCTGGTGGTCATGCCTGTAGTCCCAGCTACTCGGAGGCTGAGGCAGTAGGATCGCTGAGCCCCAGAGTTTGAGGTTGCTGTGAGCCAGGCTGACGCCATGGCACTCACTCTAGCCTGGGCAACAAAGTGAGACTCTGTCTCAAAAAAAAAAAAAAAAAATCCAAATTGAGGGGCATTCTATAAAGTAATTTATCAGGGGTCTTCAGAAGCATCGAGTTAATGAAAGACAAAGAAAAACTGAGAACCAGCGCAGGTTGGAGGCAACTAAGAAGATGCCAGAACTAAATGCAATGCAGGATCCTGGTTTGGATCCCAAATCGGAAAAAGGATGTAAATGGAACAACAGGCTAACTTGAATAAAGTCTGCAAATTAGTTAGTAGTATCCTAGTATCGTACCAGTGTTCTTTTCTGATTCTGATAATCGTATTATCAATGCTCTATAAAGTGTTAGTATTAGGGGAAGCTGCCTATTTTTGCAACTTTTCTGTCAATATAAAACTATTCAAGATGAAACAGTAAAACATATACACATATATATGTCCTTCAAGCTTTCCATGTGTGAGTAAAGGGCCTGCAAGCGTCTTTCTGGAGAGTAAAGAGGGGCAGGGGAAGCATAAGGACTGCGGCTTCTGCTAGGAGCCAGAAGGGGGACAGAGTGCTCTACTGCACCATCTGCTCAGAGCCAGACTGAGCCTGGAAGGTTCTGGAAGCCAGAAGGATTGAAGTAGGGCTGGAGGCAGGGAAGGGCTGAGGGAAGAAGGAGAAACTGAGGACTCACAATTCCCAGATAGCTTGGTCTGTCCCAGGTCTGGTTGGGGTCTTCGGTCCCGGAAGCCACAGCGTCGGCCCTCTCTGCAGCCGGGCACGGTCTCTTTGCAGGAGCTGCTGGGGCTTCCACCGCAGCCATAGCAGCCACAGCACCGCATGCGGCTTCCTGGCAGGAGAAGAGAAGAGCTGGACCTGGGCCCTGCAGGGGGGGAGGGAGCCGGCTAGCAGAAGGGGAGGACAGGCCTGTGTGACAGGCTAGCTGGCCACCTCCTTACCCCAGGCAGCCCCCAGCAGGGTGCCAAGCAGGATCCCAACAACATGGGGGTTCATCTTGTCTGCCTGTGTCAGTAGCCTCTCCCTCCTGCCCACCCCCCTCCTGGCGCCGCTCTGCCAGCCTTATATTCCCCTTGTTTTGGGCTTTATAGGGCTATAAAAAGGGAGGAAAGAGTCTCCCCCAGCAGGCACCCAGGCTCCAGCGGGGACAGGGAGGGCCCCCCACTGCATGCTGTCATTCTCTGGAGTCCTCAAAAGCCTTTACCCCCAGCAGCGGTTCTGAAACTGGCCCAAGGACCCCTGAGGGTCCCTGACACCCTTTCAGAGGGTCTTCCTTTGCATCCACGTCTGTGTAAGGTTGGATTTTCTTCATATACTGTGCTTAGACCAAACAGCACATCCCAACAGGTGGGATGCAGAGGCAGATGTGAAAACCCAGCCATCTTCCATTAGGCCTGACATGAAATAGATTCACAAAAATGAAAAGCAATGCCACTCTTCTCACTGTGCTTTTGGGAAATAATAGTTATTTTTCACAAAATTACATATTGTTAATATGTAATAGGTTTATTGTTTTATTTTTTAAATGGCTCAGTAAATACCTATTTAAAATATCCTCTCTGCTTTGACATCCTTTTTTTGTTTTATGGAGACAGAGTCTCGCTTTGTTGCCCAGGCTAGTGTGAGAGCCATGGCGTCAGCCTAGCTCACAGCAACCTCAAACTCCTGGGCTCAAGCAATCCTACTGCCTCAGCCTCCCGAGTATCCGGGACTACAGGCATGCGCCACCATGCCCGGCTAATTTTTTCTATATATATTAGTTGGCCAATTAATTTCTTTCTATTTATAGTAGAGACGGGGTCTAGCTCTTGCTCAGGCTGGTTTCGAACTCCTGACCTTGAGCAATCCTCCTGCCTCAGCCTCCCGAGTAGCTGGGACTATAGGCATGCGCCCCCATGCCCCGCTAATTTTTTCTATATATATATTAGTTGGCCAATTAATTTCCTTCTATTTATAGTAGAGACGGGGTCTCGCTCTTAGGCTGGTTTCAAACTCCTAACCTCCAGCAATCCGCCTGCCTCAGCCTCCCGAGTAGCTGGGACTATAGGCATGCGCCCCCATGCACAGCTAATTTTTTCTATATATATATTAGTTGGCCAATTAATTTCCTTCTATTTATAGTAGAGACGGGGTCTCGCTTTGTTAGGCTGGTTTCAAACTCCTGACTCCAGCAATCCACTGCCTTAGCCTCCCAGAGTGCTAGGATTACAGGCGTGAGCCACTGCACCCGGCCTTGCTGTGACATCCTTGACTAAAATAAATAAATAAATAAAATAAAATATCCTGGTTAATTATATTATTTATTATTTTTTGAGACAGAGTCTCGCTTGTTGCCAGGTAGAGTGAAGTGCTGTGGCATCAGCCTAGCTCCCAGCAACTCAAACTCCTGGCTCAAGCAATCTTCCTGCCTTAGCTCCCGAATAGCTGGGACTACAGGCATGTGCACCATGCCGCTAATTTTTTCTATATATATTAGTTGGCCAATTAGTTTTCTTTCTTATTTTAGTAGAGACGGGGTCTTGCTCTTGCTCAGGCTGGTTTGGAACTCCTGACTTAAGCAATCCACCCACCTTGGTCCAGAGTGCTAGGATTACAGGCGTGAGCCACGCCCGGCTGGTTTAATTTCAAATATAGTAAATATTGATATAACCGACATAAAGAAAGCTCTTTGGTGTTTCAGTATTTTTTTAAGAGTGTAAAGACATCTTGAGATCAAAGGTTTTGAAACTGTTGCTTTCACTGCCTGTGTCTCCCCCACCCACCTCCCTTCCTCATCTGGTCTCACTTCTCCAGGGACACTTGGCCCAACTTCCCAGATGTGACCTCCTCCTGCCCATCTCTTCAACTCTAGTCTTCCAGACTACACAGAGTCCTGGACCCAAATCCCTCCACACTTCCTTCCTAGTCTTTCTGATGTCTCCCCAGTGGAGCACATCCTGCCTCCAGCCTCACCCATGACTAGTTCTTTCTACAAGGCAGTAAGCTGGCAGGGATGATTACAGGGTAGGAATGTTGAGGCTGGAGGGGTACAAGGGTCTGAAGCTGGGTGGGTTCCGGCTCACGGAGCTGGGCTTGTTGGAGCATTGATATGTGGGCGGGTAGGTGGGGGTGTTGTTGATTCCACCTCAAACAGGTCTAGGCCAGGGCTGGTTAGGAGATGACCTTGAGAGACAAAACACACTGAGGGGGAAAGAGAACGAAACAAGAGGGGGAGAACAGCTGGAGACAAAGGGAGGGAGAGGAGGAGCGGGAGGTACAGACACAACCAGGAATGGGAGACAAGGGAATTACAGAGACAAACACACAGAGAGCAGAGGAGACCCTCAAGGCGGGGCAGGCTCATTCCAGGGGAGGAGGGTGGTCTCTGCTCCCTTGTTTCTCCCCTTACCCCTGCTCCCTCTACCCACTCCACAGTCCCAGCAAGAGCCAGGCAGGGCGGTACTGTCTGCCGTCATAGATGCATGCAGGAGCCACAGTCCTTCCACGCCGCTGTGCCAGGTCCCCGAGGCAGCAGGCTATGGCTGTGCAGGTCACGTCTCCACTGACTCTGTTTCCCTTGATTGCAATGTGGCTGCCATGCAGGCTTTGGGTGTTGTTGAGTCAAGGTCACTGAGGTGAAGAGAGAGAATGAGACTGAGGTGTGGACTCCTGGCCTCATGACTTGTTCTGGGGCAGAGCAGATGTGATTTTAAGACCCAAAGGAGCTCTGTCCCTCCAAAATACTCCTTGAAACCAAGCCATCAGAGTTACCATTGACATTGTGAGCTCTCCTGATGGTGATGCACCGAGAAGGGCACAATCTCTCCCCGCAGTGTTCTTGCTAAAACACAGTGACCTTCGCTTCATCAGGGGGATACAAAAATCCAAATTGAGGGCCGGGCGCAGGCTCATGCCTATAACCTAGCAACTCTGGGAGGCCGAGGCGGGCGGATTGCTCGAGTCAGGAGTTCGAAACCAGCCTGAGCAGACGAGACCACGTCTCTACTATAATAAAAGAATTAATTGCCAACTAATATATGTAGAAAATTAGCCGGGGCGTGGTGGTGCATGCCGTAGTCCAGCTACTCGGGAAGGCTGAGCAGAAGATCGCTTGACCCAGGAGTTTTGAGGTTGCTGTGAACTAGGCTTGATCCAGGCATCACTCTAGCCTGGGCACAAAGTGACTCGTCTCAACAAAAAAAAAATCCAAGCCGCGCCTGTGGCTTCCACGCCTGTAATCCTAGCTCTTGTGGAGCCGAGGCGGCGGATTGCTCAAGGTCAGGAGTTCAAACCAGCTGAGCAAGAGCGAGACCCCGTCTCTACACTATAAATAGAAAGAATTAATTGGCAACTGATTTATATATAAAAAAAAAAATTAGCCGGGCTGGTGCGCATGCCTGTAGCCCAGCTACCCGGGAGGCTGAGGCAGAGGATCAGTCGAGCCCAGGATTTTAGGTTGCTGGTAGCTAGGCGAGCCCACGGCACTCATCTAGCCCTACGGCCAAGAAAGCGAGAACTCTGTCTCAAAAAAAAAAAAAAAAAAAATCCAGGCCGGCGTGGGCCACGCTGTATCCCTAAAAAAACACTTGGGAGGCCGAGGCGGGGCGACTTGCTCAAGTCAAGGAGTCGAAACAGCTGAGCGAGACCCCGTCTCCTACAAATGAAAAAATTAATTGACAACTAAAAATATAATATAACCAAGAAATTAGCCGGGCCTGGTGGTGCATGCCTGTAGTCCAGCTACTCGGAGGCTGAGCACGTAGGTCGCTGAGCCCAGAGTTGAGGTTGGCTGGAGCCAGGCTGACGCCATGCATCACATCTACCTGGAACAAAGTGAGACTCTGTTCAAAAAAAAAAAAAAAAATCCAAAATTGAGGGCATTCTATAAAGTAATTTATCAGGGTCTTCAGAAGCATCGAGTTAATGAAAGACAAAGAAAACTGAGACAGCGAGTTGAGGCACTAAGAGATGCCAGAATAAATGCAATGCAGGATCTGGTTTGGGATCCCAAAACGGAAAAAGGGATGTAAATGGAACAACAGCCTAACTTGAATAAAGTCTGGTAATTAGTAGCTAGTTCCTAGATCGTCCAGTCGTTCTTTTCTGATTCTGATAATCGTAATATCATGCCTATAAAGTGTTTATATTAAGGGGACAGCTGCCTATTTTTGCAACTTTTCTGTCATATAGAAACTATTCAAGATGAAACAGTAAAACATAACACAGATATATGTCCTTCAAGCTTCCATGTGTGAGTAAAGGCGCAAGCGTCCTTCTGGACAGTAAGAAGGGCAGGGGAAGGCATGGACGCGGCTTCAGGGGGGGGGGGGGGGGGGGGGGGGGCTAGAGCCAGAAGGGACAGTGCTCTACTGCACCCATTATGCTCAGAGCCAGACTGAGCCTGAAGGTTCTGGAAGCCAGAAGACTTGAATAGGTGCTGGAGGCAGGGAGGCTGGGAAGAAGGAGATAACTGAGGACTCTACAATTCCCAGATAGCCTGTCTGTCCCAGGTCTGGTTGGGTCATTCGGTCCCGGAAGCCACAGCGTCGGCCCTCTCTGCACCGGCACGGTCTCTTGCAGGAGCTGCTGGGCTTCCACCGCAGCCATACAGCCACAGCAACCGCATGCGCTTCCTGGTCAAGGAGAAAGAAGAGCGGTGAGCATGTGGCGGTGAGGCAGCTAGACACAGCATCGCCAGGTGCCATGTAGCCGACCCGCCCATCCTGCCTAGGGCAAGATGTGGTTTCTCCAACGTTGCGCTGCTGGTCACATCAGAGGAGCCCTGTCAGAGGCTTACAACGAACACAACGGCAAGGTCCTGGCCTTGACCTATAACCACCATCTGCGCCACAACTAACAGCAGCACCGGCACCTTGCATAGCATCAACCACCAGGCGTCTGCCCCATCTCCCACTCCCTTGGCTGCCTTGGCCTCTGGTGTGCAGCTGAGACTCACCCATGGTGCCCCCCCCCCCCCCGCTGCCTTAGCCGAGCATCTCCCTGTTCTCTGCACCCGTGGCTTCCCAAAGTCGTCTCATCCTCTCTGTTTTGCTCTGAAAAGAATTTCTCCAGTCCTTCCCATTTCTTAAATTGCCCCAGAGTGGTCTCCTCTCCATCCTTCCCACCCATTC